TTTCCCACGCCTGTCTGCCTCACCTCTTACATCGTTTGGCCCTTCTGGTTATCTGGATAGGCCTTACTTGCTTGCCTTGCTCATGTAGATGTGAAACTAGTTTTGTCCTTTGTACTAGCAAACTAGTACACTGCTAAATTAACAGATGCCCCTATCCTTCTAATGAAGCATTTCCAACTTTCTTCTCTCATCTGAGCCTGATCATCAGTTCCCTATTTTCCTTCTCAATACTAAGCTAATCTCATAGGCAATGCTTTCTGGGAGCTGCTTAAAGATTTATAAAACGCTCAAGTCCTGTGGATCAAAAAGCACATAGATAGAGCCACTCCATGGTAACATACTAGCTTCTAGATATAATGTTCATTGCTGGATCTGGTAGTGTGGGTCTGCAATCCCAGTTGCTTGAAAGTTGAGGTGAGAAGGTGGAAAGTTCGACAGCCTGGGCAATTTAGTGAGGCGTTCTCAAAATAAAAAATAAAGGCCAGGGGTACAGGTCAGTGGTAGACTGCTCGCCTATCACATGCAGAATCATTGGTTCAGTTCCTGGCGTTAAAAAACAAAATAACTTCTCCCAGGCAAGTAGGGCAATATTAGATTTGTTCTTTACAAGTTGTTTTAGTTAGGGTTACTATTACAACCCCATGACCAAAAGCAACTTGGGGAGTATAATGGCTGGTTTTGTGTGTCAACTTGACACAAGCTAGAGTTATCACAGAGAAAGGAGCCTCCCTTGAGGAAATGCCTCCATGAGATCCAGCTGTAAGGCATTTTCCCAATTAGTGATCAAGGTGGGAGGGCCCATTGTGAGTGGCGACATCCCTGGGCTGGTGGTCCTGGGTTCTATAAGAAAACAAGCTGAGCAAGCCAGGGGAAGCAAGCCAGTAAGTAACATCCCTCCACGGCATCTGCATCAGTTCCTGCCTCCAGGTTCCTGCCCTGTGTGAGTTCCTATCCTGACTTCCTTTGGTGATGAACAGCAATGTGGAAGTGTAAACTGAATAAACCCTTTCCTCCCCAACTTGCTTCTTTGTCAGGATGTTTTGTGCAGGAATATAAACCCTGACTAAGACATATTCCTCCAGTATGGCAGACAGTATGCCAGCACCCATGTATGGTAGGAATGGCAGTGCAGATGATAGATATTCCACAGGGCCACTGTGTGAGACTCCTTTGGATTTTAATTCTGGGAATTAGGTCCTTCTGGGACCTTAGTTTCTTTGTTTGAGAATGGGTGAAAACAAGTCTAAGAAAGTTTGTTTTTAAAAATTACTGAAAAATTATGTTGCACAATACTATATAGATAAGTGTTCAGTTATTTGGTTCCCTCCCCTTTCAACACTTTGACTTAAATTTATTTTGAAAAAAATTGCTTGAAAAATACTTTGTTAGTTCACAACTAGTTGTGATTTTAATGTTATTATAGGGGAAATCAAATCTCCCTCTATGGGTTCGTAGTTTTGTTCACAAAGGGACTTAAAAATAGTCAGGATGAACTGAGGACAACTTTATCAGCATTAGCATCAGCCTTCCAGAGGGGGTGGTCTCTTGGCCAAGTGATTGACAGACACAAATGAATGAAAGAAAATAGTATAAAATGTTCTATTCTCCAGAGAAAGATCAGAATGCCTTTTTCACTCAGGGCCGGAGGTATATTCCATTCTTTTGATCGGGAGGAATTACCAAATGACAAGTTATGATGGTAGGGTTGGGGTAAGTAAGGGTGCTGGCTCTCACTCTGGAATCTTCACACCATCCCAGTGGCTAGTGGAGCCCAGAAGGGGTGTTATAGTTCAGGCTTAGCTCCTACCCCCTCTGCCTTCAGTCATGAGGTGGGACTGCATAGCTACTGCCAAATCTGAGACCCGAGTGTCCATTCGGTTTTAAGAAGCCTTTCTTTACAGAGTCAGTCTTCAGGTTCCCTACCAGCTGGAGCAGGGGCTATCCCTGAGCTTGTTGTTTGCCTGTGGATCCCATTCCCCTAAATGGACAGCCTTTTCTGGCCTCAGTGGGAGAGGGTTAGCCTAGTCTGGCCTAGTTCTGCAGTGACTTTCACTGTGTGTGTGTGTGTGTGTGTGTGTGTGTGTGTGTGTGTTGTGTTAGTGCACGGGGATGACACCCAGAAGGGAGCTTCCCCTTCTCAGAGAAGGTGGAGTGGAGAAAGGATACTAGGAGGAGAGGAAGGGCTGATACTGAGTTGTAACGTGAATGAATAAATTAAAAAAAAAAGAATCTTCCCAGCTCTATGGTTAACTCACTTCTATTTGTTTTTCTTTCCAGACAGGATCTCTCTATGCTGCCCTGGCTGTCCTACAACTCACTCTGTAGACCAGGCTGGCCTCAATCTCAGAGACCCACCTGTCTCTGTTTCCCAAGTGCTGGGATCAAAGACATGTATCACCACGATGGGCTGTTTAGCTGTTTAGTTTCCTTCTGCAGAACTCACCACCTGGTTGAATTCCTGCCCTGGAACCTTAGGTTGCCTTCTCTCTGTAGCTGAATTGTGCTCCCCCCTTTTTTTTCTTGCCTCAAGTTTATTTGTAAAAACAGCATAGGACACTGGCCATCTGCAACTAGTGTGTAGGTAAGCGTGTCACTGTCTATCTGTCCTCACATTGGCAGGATTCTTTTCTATGAGGCCTTCACAGGGGCCCGGGCACCTTTGGGAGCCTGAGCTGGAGCTTTAAACTGTGCCTTGGTTTGAACCTTGGGCTTTGGTTGGCCTTGGCCATATAGCTTCAAAATCTGCTTCCCAAGCTTGGGATGAGCAATGAAAGCCAGATGGCTGAGTTTACGCCTGGGGCCCTTTGGCATCTTGGGCTTGATGGTCTGAGGCTTCACAAGGGCCTTGATGGCCTCTGCACGTGCACTCACTGCTTTGCAATGTTGGCCTGCATCTTCTTCAGGCCTTTCTTGTTGTGCTTCTTGGCAAAGCACATGTTCCTCAGGAACTTGGGGTCAACCCCCTTAAGAGACTCGTATCTTTGTGGCCAGGGTTTCTTGATGTCATTTCTGTGCCATTTGCGGGACTGGTTGTGTGGGTATGGTTCTGGGACTTGGCCATTGTCTGCATGGTAACCCGTGGCTCCTGCAGTACCTGGGACCGGAAGAGAAATGATAGTGCTCCTTTACGGGAGGTGCGTTTCTAAGTGATACTTAGGCTGACCTTGGATAAAAAGCTGGCTAAAGGCTTGCATGGCTGTTCCTTAATAGTTGTATCTGCTTTCCGTGTCCCCTCAAAGTATACTTGATTCTCAGGCCTATTGGCTTCTCAGTCTACTAATTCCTTTCATCATATCTGGCTATAGTCATAATCTTTTGTCTTCCACGGCATGCTAAAATTTAACCTGCATCAGATTAAGATGCTGTTTTGGTTTCTTTAGTGGGATTTTATCTGACCTCTGTTTGCTTCTTAAAGATGCTCGCTGATGACTATCTCTGAACATTTAAACTATATTTGAGTCAAAGATCACGTAGTACTCAATAGTTCTCTGATACTTTTGAGAAGCCGCTGAAGACAGCAGCAGAGTTGTGGGAGTGAACTGCAGTAAGTGCTCCGTGGCATTATCGTATTAAAATTTGTCCCACTTCTAACTTGTTTTCTGGATATAAGATTATTCAATATTGATTCTCTTTTGCCTTTCTGTAGACAAAGGCCACCGCAGCTCCTTGGTTCCTGGCCCAGGCTGGCATTCTAGTAACTCCCCTCTGTCACTGCATTGGGTAGATTCCTGTATCCCTGTCATGAAGGTTCATAACTGACTACCCACTCGGCATCCTGAGAGGTCAATAACTTCCTTTGGGATGGAAGTAGGGACCCTGAAATTCGTGTCAACTTGACTAGGGCCTCCTTCTCTATCTATAGTGGTAAATAAGCCCTTGTTTTATTTCTAGCATGACTGTAATACCTGTTTATTCTAAGGAAGTGAAGTCCAGGAAACGGGGGCCCCTTTCATCAGCACCCCAGCCTCTACTGTTTTGGGGAAGAGATGTATTCTTATATCCATACTTGAATTTTAATTGTGACGAATCTTCTGTCTTTAATGTTTTTGTTTTATTTCCCCTAAACTAAAACTGCCCATGCTCTGGCTACGTTTAAGGATTTAAAGGACCTAGAATGTTCCTTGTTGGTAGAGAGCTTGCCTGCCATGTATCAAGCCCTAAATCCAACCCCTAATCAATCTCTTCAGGGTTATCCAGGGCAAGGAAACTACTGAATACACAGCTGCTTATCTGACAAATTTTCTGCACCCAAAGGGAGAGAGACCCACAAAACATGTATCAGTGATATCCTTGATAACGACTTCCAAAGGGGAAAGATTTCTCACCTAGAGTACCTTCTGCTGTTATTTGTCAAGGTAGACATCACTTCATCAGTACCCTGCCCAGGACCTAGGTGTCTGTGCTTCCCTGAGCGCTTTAAAGCAATTGAGAGCAGACAGACAGACCCGACCTTAATCTGCCCTGGCCCAAGGTTTCCAGTAGGCGGCTCAGGGCAGGTGAGTTCTGCGCTCCGCAAGGCGCCTGCGGGCGGGAGCCGGTGGAACCGAGGGCGGCGGCTCTGGGCTCGGCTCAGCTGCAGCAATCGCAGCCTCCCGCTGCCGCCCGCCTCCGGGAGCCCGGGCGCCCAGCCCCGCAGCTGCGGCCGAGCGGAGGCAGTGCACCGCGGCGAGGATGCTGGGCGGGGGCAGGGCGCGGGGTAGGTGACTTTATCCCGCCTCTGTTGCCCGGCCCAGGGGAGCAATGACATCACGTGGCCTTTTCCACGCACCGACACAAAGAGCGCTTGCGAGAGGCCTCGGCCAGGGAGGCCGGCGGCCGCCGCTGCCTCGCAGGGCCCCGGGGCTCCGCCAGCCGGGCTCTCCACTCGCCGTCCGCGCCCTTCCGCCGCCGCCTCCGCCCGCGCCCCCTGCGCACCGCTGAGCCTGCCCGCCCGGGCGCCGGCCCCTTCCCATGCGGGCGGCGCGGGCCCTGGGAGGGGCGCCCCGAGCCAGCCGCGCAGCATGCACTGGGGGGTTGGCTTTGCTTCGTCCAGGCCGTGCGTGGTGGACCTGAGCTGGAACCAGAGCATCTCCTTCTCCGGCTGGTGGGCCGGGTCCGAGGAGCCCTTTTCCTTTTATGGGGACATCATCGCTTTCCCTTTGCAGGATTACGGTGGGATCATGGCAGGGCTGGGCTCGGATCCCTGGTGGAAGAAAACCCTTTATTTGACTGGGGGAGCTTTGCTGGCTGCGGCTGCGTATCTGCTCCACGAACTCCTGGTCATTAGGTGAGCCGGATAGAGGGCCCCGGGCACTGACCGGGGCAGCTAGTCCGGGTAGGGCTGGCTCGAAGAGGGTTCCGGAGCCAGCCTCTCCGTCCCGCCGCCCAAAGGTCCAAGCGTCCTCTCTCATCCTCACCCCGCTAAGGCGGTTCACGGTCACCTGCCCACTTGTGAGGGGCCGTTTAGAGTTGATGGGAGAATTAAATTGGGAGAGGAAAGAAAACATTTGCCTTCCATTTCGATGCTAAAAGCAAAGTGCTGTGAGTCACTAGTGCTATGGATCAAAACAATCTGCTAAAGCCCATTGGAAGGATTCTAACTGCAATCAATGCATTCGTAACAATAGAATAAAGCTCTGTAGAAATACTAAGGTACACTTTTATAAATGCCTAATTGGTTTATGGGTAATAATAACCATCTTCACTTAAAAGGTTAGTTCTCTCTTATTCCTCTCCATAAATGTCAACATTATTAAGAAGCTGCAGTTGCAGAAGCTTCGTGTAATCCTGTTCAGTTTTGATGCAGCCTTAACCTGCTTACCTGCTTATCTGGTATGGAACTGTAAGCACCTTCAGGCTTAAATGGAATTATTGTGTGAACAGTAGGAAATCTGAGGGCTGCGCTAGCACATGGGGCACTTGACATAACAGGGAGTCTCCCCGGGCTGTAAACAGTTTCATGGCTGCCTGCCGCAGAATGTGTTCAGAGCTGACTTGAAAATACAGTAAATGGAGGGCCCTTCCTGTTGGTACTGCTAGTTCCAGAGACAGGTCTTTAGTGCAGTAGTTGGTAGATACCACTGGGTACCAAGACAGTCTTTGGCTAATGGGCATGCCAATTTTGGGTTAAAATTTCCATGCATGTGGGGCCCCAGCCTCTGGAGATTATTGGAGGCAGAGCAGTTTTCATTAACTCAGAATTTCTCTTTGGCTAGTATTTTTGAAGGGGCAAGGATGTATTCTTACCATATTTTCCAAAGGTAGGTTGAAGGTGGGGCACAGTTCTAGACGTTATAAAGTGGCTGGTGACCTCTAATGGATTTCGGGAAGTCCAGCAGGACACTGTGATAGCCCTACTGAATTCACACTATTTGTTGGTTCTGAAAGGATAAGAAAGCGTTTAGGTCTGAGAAAATGTGTTGGCTTTCATATCATTTAGACACAAGGGAAGACTGAGAAGTTTATTTTAACTCTAGTACATCTTATTTAGTGGAGCGTCTTGAATTTAGGTGAGCCAAACACAAAAGTTTTAAAGTGAGATATCATCCAGATTACTCCCCATTGGTGCAAATCTTAGAAGTCTATTTCAAGTCCGGTTTCAGTCCATATAAAGAACCTCCACATCTGTGCAGCATTTTAAACAGTAGCCTGTTGTTTCTCAGCTGTATTTCACTCCGAAGCCTATGAAGACTGTCCCTGTACCGTGTGGCTTCCCAGCATTTCTCCAGTTTGTGGAGAGTGAAGGCTTCATATGCTTGAATCCAAAATGTGGCTTCGATGACCTTGCAGAAATAACAGGGCCTTGGGAGCTCACTTTGGAATAGACCACGCCCTGAAGGTCTGGACCCTGTATACTCTTTAGCCCTCTGCCCAGGCTAGCTCTTTCCCATAGTGGTGACTTCAAGTCCCAGCTCTGGATCTTTACTTGGATCAAGGGATTTTTAAAAGATCCATATTTGTTTACTTTTGTTTCTTGACAAATGAATTGGTAAACCTCTATTATAATACAAACTGAAGGAAGGCAGCTGAATTTTTGGGAACTTAGTAGTACTCCGTGTGTGTCTGTGATTGCAGGTTATCTTTAACAGCTACCATTATGGAGTAGGAGGAGATCAGGTAACTGCTGAAGATCACACAGTAACAGGAGTAAGACCAAGGTTCCAGTGTGGAACCTGGCTGCTTGGGAGAAAGAGCTCACTTTGAGGTGTTATGTTGGGGGAGAAAGGAAGGGAACTGAGAACAGGCACACTTCCTGGGAAGTGAGGCCTGTGGTCAAGACTCAACTTTCTGCCAGCTTCCACAGAGATACGGAGCAGACAGGAGCAGTGAAGGCAGGCTTCAGAGGGTACAAGAAGGGAAGGCTTGCTGAGAAATCTAGGCTTCTGCTTTAGACAAAATCAAAATCTGACGTGTGGGAGGAAAATATATTGTAAGGTCTGAGTTCATTGGCAACTGTCAAGTCTCACCTACGTTGCCTGGACTTTCTGTTGCTCAGATTAGCTTTAGTCTATGGCTTTATCTCATGAGAAAATAATATTATAAGGTTAAATAAGAAGTCTAATTAGTGAGTATAATCAATGTATGTATTTTTTTTGGTGAAGCATGGTTTCTTATTTACAATATTATTTTTGATATTTGTATTTTTCCACTGTTGTATTTTAAAATAATTATTGTCTTAATCCTTTTTTCCCCCAGAGTGGAAATGGCTTGGCATCTATATTAAATTCACTCAAGCATCTGGAAATTTGCTTGTAAACCGAATGATTAAGTAATGAATTCATTACCTGGAGCTCATTTGCACTTTGAGCGTTTGAGCTGAAGGGTCCCTATCTGATCTCTAAGACTGACTCCTTGCCTGTTATGCAGGCATGATCATCTCTGATATCCTTAGAGCAGGGCCAGGAGCTAGTTAGCCTCCTATTATGTTAGCCAGCTGGCCTCTGCAGGTGTTCTTATTCAAATCTCCTTCTAAGGTTGTTTTATGATAAGTTGCACAGGAAGCAATTCATCTGATCCTGTGACCTTAAACTAGGGAGAAGGTTCTGACATGTAGAAGGAGGAGGCCTGTGGAAACAGATTCTCTGGGTTCAAATTTGATTCAGCCTTTACCCAACTATGCACTTTTGACTTTTGATATATATGTTTTGATATATCTATATCTATATCTATATCTATATCTATATCTATATCTATATCTATATCTATATCTATATCTATCTATCTATCTATCTATATATATCTATTGCATGTAGTATGAATTATTTTACTGGGGAAAGTCAGTTTTGAGGGTGCGTGTGTGTGTGTGTGTATGGATTGTACTAGGGATTGATCCCAGTGCCTCACCCATGGAAGCCAAGTACCCTACCACAGAGTTATATCCTCACTTCACTCATTTTTTTGACATGTTCTAGCTGCGCTGCCTAGGCTGGCCTTAAACTTGCAATTTTCTTGCCTATGCCTTCTGAATGGCTGGGATCTGCCACCATTCTTGGCCTGACAGACTTGGTCTTAAATTGGTGTTTCTTGGGCAAGTCACTTTCTGACTTTGAAGTTTCCTGTCTACTACAGAACATTAGTATGATGTCCCAAATTTAAACTCTAACAATGCCCGCTTTACAGTGAGTGCTATTCTCAGAATTAAGTAGGTTATTATGGGCCATGTCTATAGTCACTGGCACGTGTTGCTACATGATCAGCATCTTTATGACTGTTATAGGGCCTAAACTAATCTTTAGGACTTGACTCTTCTGGCCAGTAGGGCAGAGGATTTCCTATCTATCGCCTTTTAGTTCTTAAACCTTTGCCTCTTTAAGTTATATGAAAACATCACTTTGTGGTGTGAACTATTTTACCGGGCAAAGTCAGTTGTGAAGTGTAGAGTTTGTATTGTCTACTAATATTGTCAAAACGGGTCCTGGATTTTAGTATCTGACCTCCCACACATTTCATATAATGGAAAACCTCTGTTTTGTAGTAAATGCTTTTTAACTCTATTGGCGTGTAATGTCGGAATGAGTCATTCAGTGCTCTTTAAATGGAGTAGGCTCCTGGTTGTAAACCCCAAGAGGACTTGTTTTATGAAGTGGAGATGGCTGAAGCTAGTGAGCACCATGTGGGGATGGTGACATGCCGTTTCTGCTTGGCCAGAAGTAGGTGTAGAATGAAACTGGGATTTGGAGAGGGGAAGTTTAGAGGGGTCCAAGGCTTGAAAATAGAGTTTATCTGACTGGGAAATGCTAGGCTCCCAAAACTGTGGAAACTGTCATAGGTCTCTGAGGGGTGTATAAGCCAGATTGGGTGAAATCATAAGTCAACAAGACAATTGTGTAAGAATACATTTTTGCTCACTTTTAATGCTTGATTTCTTACTAAATGTTCACAGATACTATTTTATTTAATACTTGTGATTGTCAATATAGAAAAGGAACCAGGATTTTCAGTATTAGATTTCCTGGAGATGTGGGTCATGGTGCAGCCCACACATTCTGTTATTGCCTTATCTTATGGAGAAGGGTCTCTTTCAAGGTATTGTCTAGTGTAGGCACTGTCCTGGTTCTGCAGAATACTATCAATGTGACTATCACTATACCCAAGATTCTCTGTAGCCCAGGTAGACCATGAACTTGTGGTCCTTCTGTATCAGCCTCCTGAGGGCCAGGATTAAAGGCCTGAAGTACCATTCTCACCTTCTAGTATTTGCAATTCGTAAAATATATGTAATATATCTACTTTATAAGGTTGCTTTGAAGATTAAATAAAACAGTGTCCATGAAACATGCACTATCAGGTGGAGCACATAGTAAACACAAAATGCCTGTCCCCTAAATACTCCTTTTGCCCATAAGCTGCTCATAATGGAAGCAAGTTGATTTGTAATTACTTCTCAGAGCCACTGAGTTATAGTCATCTCAGGATTTGTAAGATTCTCCCGCATGTCTACTATGCTTTTGGTCTCTAAACCCCGGATGAGGTAAGGCCTATCACAGACACTTCTGCTTGTTCATAGAGGAATACAATCCTACAGGGTCTTCATGAGAACCAAGGTAACAGAAAACTAACATGCAGGCTATTCTTTATTTCTGCTTTGGTTTTTGACAGGAAACAGCAAGAGCTTGACTCCAAAGATGCTATTATTTTGCATCAGTTTGCAAGACCTAACAATGGCGTCCCCAGCTTGTCTCCTTTCTGTTTGAAAATGGAAACTTACTTAAGAATGGCCGACCTACCCTATCAGGTACTTGTTTGCAAATATGTTTTATTCTTATGGCATCAATATCACCTAGAGAGAGGGGTAGTTAATGTCACACAAGTAGATATCACAGTAGGCAGGGTCTGAAGGTGACAGTGTCCAGTCCTCAGTAAGAGAGGCACACGATTCCAGGGTATATTGACTTCTTTTTGCATCAGTTTTAATGAAGGATTCATAGCATTTCTTTAAAGTGTTCTTTGGTTGGAGGTTTGGATAGGCTTACAGAGCAGCAGGTGAGAAATGTAAGCGTGTGACTGCCTGGTGGGACTTTTCTTTTAGGTTGATTAGAGGGCACAATAGATTGGCAGTACTGGGCCCTGAAGATAGTGCCTCATGTGCACCAGACAAGGGCTTTTCCACCTAGCTATAGCTCTGGCCTTTGAATAGATTTTAACTTTCCTATGTTTTGCTCAAGTGGCTTTCAAGGAAGCAGCTGTTCATTTCAGCATTAAAGAAGCAATTAAAAGATGTTGGAGAGATGGTTCGGTGGTTAAGAGCATTTGTGACCCCTGCAGAGGACCCTGGTTCTGTTCCATCACCTACATGGTCTTTCATGATCATGTGTGATTTCAGTTACAGGGGATCCCATGTCCTCTTCTGACTTTAGGCACCAAGACAAGCATGGGGCGCATAGATATACAAGCAGGCAAAAAACTGATACATAAATTAAATTAGAAAATTATAGGAAGAAATTCAAGAAAAAAGAAGGAAAAAGAAATACACATGCCATATGTACATGCACATACATACACATTCATATGTAATAATTTGCAAGTATTTTCACTTCATGAAAAAAATTCCAGAATATTAATTATGATGAATTATTGGTGATTAGAATATGGGTAATTTTTAATACACACCCATTTACATTTGCAAATTTTCCTCACGATGAAAATAGAAATACACATTATTTCATAAAAAGAATAATCAGATGAATGTACTTGAAGACATCCACTTTTCCTTCAGTAACGTTGGAGATGGCTAACATATTTAGTTGCATTATTGTTGTTCTTGTCATTACTCTATGTAGCTTAGCATTCTTCCCTTGTGTTTTCCTTTTTAACAAGTTCTAGCTGTATCTAAGTTTACTGAAACTCTGTTTCTATAATTGTTTTTGATGTTATGGCCACAGAAAATAGTCTCTGATAACCAGTTCCTTCAGTTTACTGAGACTATCCAAATGTGTAATTTTTTCTTTTAGGTCAGGGTTTCTCTGTGTAGCTGTCCTGGAACTCACTCTGGCCTTAGAGCGAGTTCGATCTGGCCTCCAACTCACAGAGATCCTCCTCCCTCTGAGATCCACCTGTCCCTGCCTCTTAAGAGCAGGGACTAAAGGCATGTGGTACCACCTTCCTTGTGATGATTTAAAATTGGATTTGTCATATAGTGAGGTAGATTCTGTAGCCCTCCCTTTGTTCTTATTTGCTTGGGATATCTTTCTCTATCTCTTTCTTTTGTACATTTGCTTCTCATAGGCAGTGCATTGCTTGTATTGGATCTGAGATCTTACAGCTTTGCATCCTGGAAATAGCATTCTTACAGCTTCACATTTGGTAAATTTATGTAAAAAATGTTTTAAATCTATTTACACATTTACCTACACATATCCTGCACAGATTATCTTATATTTTTATTTTATTTTTCCCTTCCTTTCTTCCTTTCTTTCTTGAGACAGGGCCTTACTATTTTAGCTCTGGCTGGCTTGGAACTCACTATATAAACAAGCTAGCCTTGAAATCTTAGAGATCTGCCCTCCTCTGTGCCTTTTGAATGCTGAGATTAAAGGCATCATGCACCATAGCACCTAGCTTTGGGAAATTTCTTGATGAATATTTTCCTGGTAAGTCTTCATGGCTTGACATTTCTGAAACAGCTCCCTCCACCCCCAGTTTCACATTTCATAAATTTCTTTCCAAAATTCTCTGCTTTTTGTGTTTTGAAACTATTCCCCCAATGTCTTTTTTACTCTGATGTTGCCTCTGAGAATTTTGTTGTTGGTGGTGGTATTTAAAGACAGTCTCACTATGTAGTCCAGCCTGGCCTGGAACTTGCTCTGTATAGTAGGCTGGCCATGAACTCATTTGTACCCAGTAGCTAGAGTTAGTCCTTGAACTAGATCCTCCTGCCTCTGCCTCTCAACTGCTGGCAGCTACTGAGAAACTTAACAGTAATCTTATTCTTTTTTCTCTCTGATTTTTTTAGAATTGGCTTTTAATCTTAATATTCTATTGAGTGTTCCCTATCTACTATCTATCTATCTATCTATCTATCTATCTATCTATCTATCTATCTATCTCCTGTACTTTTTCTCCTTTATATTTATGTTGTGTGCTCATGCACATGCAAATAATGCATCTGCACACGGTGACACATATGAAGGTCAAAGGACAACTTGAAGTAAGTCAGTTTTCTCCTTCTATCATGTGCAGCTTAGGGATGAAACTTATGTCATCAGGCTTGGTGGCAGACACCTTCGCTTGCTGAGGCATCTCACCAGTTCTTCTGGTTCTTTTTAAATTCTTTTGAGTTTTTATGTGTCTTTATCTTTTAAGACAACACAAAAAGCAATGGATTTATATGATAACATTTTCTTTCTTTTATTAAACATAGTTGAGCCTTTTAAATCTTTAGAGATGGGGCTCGAGGACTGACAGCTCTTCCAGAGGTCCTGAGTTCAATTTCCAGCAACCACATGGTGGCTCACAACCACCTGTAAAGGGATCTTATGCCTGTTTCTGGTGTGTCTGAAGATAGCTGCAGTGTACTCACATAAAATAAATAAATAAATAAATAAATAAATAAATAAATAAATAAATCACCCCAAATAATCTCCTTCTCTATATTCAGGCCACATGAATTCCATTACCCTCTCTTTCTCCAACACTTAGGATCTCCTCCGAGTTTCCTGTGACACACAGATGCATGCACATGTATACATTTAAATCTTAGTGTTTGCATATGTAAGAAAATGTGAGCTTGTTCCTGAGGCTGGCGTGTTTCATTTGCCATGGTGATTTCCAGTTGAATCAATTTCCCAGCAAGTGACATAATTTCATTCTTCTTTATAGCCCAGTAAAACTCCACTGTATATTTCTTTCATCATTCACATATTGTTGGGCACTTAGGCTGGCTTCATAACTTGGCTGTTGGGAACAGTGCTGCACTAAACAAAACATACAACTGTTGCCTTAGATCCCTTCAGCTGTACATCCAGAAGTATAGCTTGCACACATACTAGCTGTTTTGAGAAAGCTTCATTCTGCGTATTGGCTGCACCAGTTTATATTCTGGGTTCTAAGTGCTGAATGTTCTTGGGAGCGCTTGCTATTGTTTGTTGTCCTGGTGGACAACAAACTACTACTTGGACCAGGCTGGTATGACTGTGAGCTCTTAAAACATTTTTATTCTGGGGCACCTAATCATCAATATTTTCAAAATATTTCCTTTAATAATCGTTTGCTTTTCTCCATGCCTGTTCCTTGTTGTCTAGATGTTTGTCCTTATGCTTTTCTGTCCCTTGTTTGTGCTATCCTATAATTCTCTGCTGCTTCCTGGAACTTTCATTTCGTTGAGCATCCAATGCTGTATTCTGTTCTTGCAACCATTATGCTGATGGATTTTTAATGTTTTATTTTTTTATTTTTTAATTCTGTGTGCCTGTGTGTCTAGGGGTGTGCACATGTGAGTACAGGTGCTTGCTGATGCCACAGGAACCTGATTCCTTTGAACTGGATCACAGGTAGTTGTGATCTGCCCAATGGGGGTGGTGGGAATCAAACTTGGGTTCTCTGAAAAAGCAGCATGCCTTTAACTGTTGAGCTATCTCTCCAGCCCCTCATGGTGTTTTCCTGTGTTGTGTCTTTTCTTTTTTAGACTGTAGCCTTGGTTGACCATTCTTCTTGCCTCTACCTCCCAAGTACATGTCACCATTTCTGGCTAGCTGTTGACTAAGGTTGACTTTTCCCTCCTCACCCTTTCTCTCTCCCCTTATTCCCCTCTTCTCTTCCTCTCCATGTCTCCCTCCCCTTCTTTCCAGGGTTTCTCTGTGTAACCTTGGCTGTCCTGGAACTCACTCTGTAGACCAGGCTGGCCTTCAAACTCAAAGAGATCCACCTATCTCTGTCTCCTAAGTGTTGCCACCACTTGGCCTTTATCTTTTCTTAAAAAGTGTGTCTCCTTAGTCAGTTTTCCTAATTTCTGCCTTTATCTTTGGGAGGATATTCATTATGCTAACTGGAAGCATTTGGTCTGACCCAGTATTTCTGCATCATGCTGCCTGTACTCAGCATGTTAGTCCTTTCTCTTGTGGTCGTATTCTCAGAGGTCCACGTTTTATTTAGATCTTTCATCAGCAATAGTGGCTTCTGTGTTGGGAAAGGGCTAGAGCCCCTCTCTGGTCCTCAGCCTCCACTTCTGTGTTCTACTTATTTACCCATCTTGTGTTCCCACTCTCTGGCTTGATTTTCTGTCTAGTATAAAGAGCACCCTCACCCTTCCCACAGGTTCACTTATGGTTGTTATTTCATCTCCATTGCTTTCACTCTCTTTTTATATACTTTTAGAAAGATGTTTTTAACACATCATTTGAAAGTACTGTGCAGAAATCAAGACACTTCATTTACAATTTTTTAACATGCATATATCCCCAAGTAAAGACAGTTTTTCCTACAAAGTTACAATATAGGTTAGATACATGGGCTTTTCTTAAAGTGTTATAATTTACAAAAGGTAGTCAAATGGTTTCAAATGTAGCCAGTGGCAGGTGTCGGGTGGTAGTTCTGGGGTGCAGTGGAGATTCACTTTGTTACATAGTTACAAGCAATGGAGCTGAAAATGTAGTGCTCAGGACAGCAAGGCAGAGCCCCAAGACTTTGAAATCTCACTTAGGCTTTAAAATACTTCATCTCAAAATGATGATGATGATACCCAAAGTTTTCTACTTAGATCTAGTCATATCTAAGTAAATTATAATTGTCTCTAAGATGTTGTCTCCTGCTTTTTAGCTACAAAGCAAAAATTGATTATGAAAACATAGTTGAGTAATCATATCCAGAATTGATCTCTTAAGTTTTATTTCTGTAGTTTGTTTTGTTTTGTTTTATTTTCTCAGGACAGGGTTTCACTGTACAGCTCTGGCTGTCCTGGAACTCACTATGTAGATCAGGCTGACCTTGAACTCGCAGAGATCCGCCTGCCTCTGCCTCCTGAGTGTTGGGATTAAATCATGTGCCACTATGCTCAGCAGGTGGCATCAACCAGATGCTGTGAGTGTAGGTTGCTGTTGCAATTTGTTTTTTGTGAGAGAAGGGTGCTAGGGTCAACCAATGGTGTATGTATGTGAGGCAAATGATCTATAGACTTATAACTCTATAACCTCAGCTTTTAAATTTTGTTCTGTTTGCATATGTGCACTGTGGTGTACCCGTGATATGTATGCATGTTAGAATTTGTGCAGGAGGCCTGAGGTTGATAATCAGAATCGTCCTTGATTGCTTGTCCACCTAATTCACTAAGGCAGGGTATCTCAGTCAAACCCAGCATGTGCTGATTTGGTTAGTCTCTCCAACTTGCTTTGGGATCCTGTCTCTCTCATCTCTAGGGTTGGAATTACAGGTGAGCCATCATGTTCATCCAGCATTTACATGGGCAACTAAACTCTGGTCTTCTTAGTTGGGTGATAAGCATTTCTTTTTTTGAGACAAGGTCTCGATATATAGCCCAGACTAGCCTTGAACTCAGCTACGTTGTCTGCACTGCCTCACCTCTTACGTGCAGGGCTATAAGCATGTGCTACTGTGCTTAATTACTACTCGATTTTGATGCAGAATATTTGTCCTTATTTGCTCTTTAAAGAGCTCCTTCTGATGGCGATGTTGAAGCTAGATTCCATCTGAAGTGATGAATGTAAAAGGGACAAGTTAGGATTCCGGTGCAGCAAGAGAAATCGGCAGCAGAGGCAGTCCCATGTGGTGATTTTACATCTCTAGAATACTAATTACACAGACACCAGGCACACTGGTAACTTTTAGAGAAAGTGTGACATTTCTTTTAGTTGGCATTAGGATAATATCTATGTAGTAGCCATGTATAATTGTGTTGGTTGCTTTCTGTGTAACAGTGTACAGCCAAAGGTTCTTGGCATAGAATGTATTACTAGAGAAAATTCCTTTTTGCTAAACTGTGCATAGGCAATCTGGCTTGAGTTACTTTTTTTATTGCTTTGTTTATTCTTTGACTATTTGTGTTTATTGTCTTGCTTGTTCCTTGACTATTTGCATCTATTGTATTGCTAGTTTCTCAACCTAGAACTGACCTACTTGCACGTAATTAAAATGGTATAAAAGCAGGTTGGGAAAAAATAAAAAAATAAAAATAAAAAAGGAAAATAAACAAAACAAAACCCCAAAACACAGTGAAAGGATCGATTTTCTTCTATGATTTTCATGTGCTTCTTTGAAATTCTTTGCTTTTGCTTCATTATTCTCAACAACCATGGATAGACCTTCTGTCACCAGAGACTACATTTTCTAGTATTTTTGAAAGAAAGGAAAGAAGAATGAAAGGAAAGGATGAAAGAAAGGAAAGAAAGGAAAGAAAGAAAGAAAGGAAGGAAGGAAGGAAGGAAGGAAGGAAGAATGAATTTACACTATACTACTTACGTATGTATGCTAGCCTGAAACTCATGTTTGTAGATCATGCTTGCCTGAAACTCACAGAAATCTGCTTCTACCTCTCTAGTGCTGGAATTAGAGGTGCACAGCCCCATTCCTGCCCAGCATGCATGTACCTGTTTGTATATGGCATATGGGAGCTATAGACTGATGTTGAGATTTTTATCTTTATGTTATTGCTCTCTATCTTGATGTTTGAGAAATGGTTTCATATTGACCTTGAAGCGTATCTTAGTTACTGTTTTACTGCTGTGAAGAGACACCATGACCAAGTAACTCATAAAGCATAACTGGGGCCTTGCTTATGGTTTCAGAGGGTTAGTTCTTAATCATCATAACAGGAAGCAGACAAACATGGTATTGGAGCAGTGGTTGAGAGCTTTGCATTCTAATTTCCTAGGAGAGAGAGAGAGAGAAAGAGAGAGAGAGAGAGAGAGAGAGAGAGAGACAGAGACAGAGACAGAGACAGAGAGAGAAAGACAGAGAGAGAGACAGAGAGAGAAAGAGAGACTGGGCCTAACAGGCTTTTGAAACCTCAAAGCCCACCCCAGTGACAGACTTCCTCCAACAAGGCCACATCTTCTAATCCTTCTCAAACTGAGGACCAAGCATTCAAACTACCACAGAGCTCGTTATTTTGGCTGGGCTGGCTGGCCAGTCAGTCCCAATAATTTGCCTCTCTCTACTTCCCCAGTAATGTGATTACAGATGCCTGTTTCACTTCTGTCCTTTAGTGTAGATACTGCGGTTTGAATTCCAGTTTCCATGCTTGCAAAGCAAGCACTTTACTGACTGAGATATCCTCCAACAGTATATTGTCAGTTAGAACCGAACTCGGGTCCTCTGGAAGAGCACTACATGCTGTTAACCACATAGCTATCCCTTTAGCCCAGACTTTTGTTTACATGTCTTTGCATGGCTGTATGCTTTCTTACCCTTGGGTAAATACTTAGGGGTAAAATGGCTTGATTAGGAGAAAGTGGTAGGGGCTGGAGAGATGGCATTTTAGTTAAGAGAAGGCAGCTCTTTTAGAAGATCCTGGTTCAGTTCCTTACACCAGAGGATGGCTCACAACTGCAATTCTAGTTCCAGGGGATCTTAATGACCCCTTCTGGCTCCACTGTCACCAGGCTTGCACATGGTACAGGCATACATTGGTTGCAAACTTATGCATGTAAAATAATAAAATACATTTAAAAAAAAACCGATAAGTGTATGCTTAACTTAAGACAGTGTCAGAACATTTTAAAGTGGTTGGTCATTTAACATTCCCACCATGGTTTTGAGTATCAGTTGGCCTCAGAGGGGCCAGCATTTGCATTATCCAACAATGTCTGCACTATCTATTTGTATAAACTATAAGGATGACTTTATGACAATCAGATTAATTTAGGCTGTATAGTTGTGGATACCATTCTTACAATTAACTTTGAGGTTTAAATGACCATATTTATTGAGAAAAGAGATTGAAGACGTGGAATTCTTCAGAATCCCTCCATTCATGTGGCCCAGGTCTTTACTTTTTACACATTGAAGAATAAATGTCATTGTAATTTTAAAGTCTGTAACTTGATCTTTCTGGTCAAGATCTTCTGAGACACTGTAAGCTTCTACCATGCTTGTAGATCAAAATAGTGTTTGTCTGAACAGGTTCTGGGCACTCCCTCTAGGACTAGACATTAATTTCTGGGCCAAAACCCAAGAACTTGCTGAGCTAATTTCCTTTAGGTGACACTGCAATTGAATCTGTTGTGTATTCTTTGTTTTTAACTTCAGTATGATAATTTAGGGGACCTCTTACTCGCACTGTAGTGACAGTGAGCATTATTCAGGTGGAACATACTGGATTTCAAGTAAGTTACTTGGTTACTAAATTGGTGAAAGCTTCTTTGTGGTTTGTGTTCTGATTTTTTTTCTCTGTGGAGAGTTTTACACATTGTAGCTACACTTGTCCACTTCAGACTCACCCCTTTCCTTTCTCTCCCATTCCTTGACCCACAGTCCCCTTCCTTTCCTAGTTTAGATAGAATTTGAGTCCATGCCAGAACCTATGGGAACATTAATGTTCGGTAAAAGGTTTCCTCTCCCTTCTAGAGTAATGATCTTAAAGAGTCAGTGTGCTGAGTTTATTTGAGCACTGGGTTGGAATGGTTGTTTCTGTTAATCAGTGAAATTTATATACATATTGCCTCTCTCTCTCTCTCTCTCTCTCTCTCTCTCTCTCTCTCTCTCTCTCCCTCCCTCCCTCCCTCCCTCCCTCCCTCCCTTCCTCCCTCTCTCTCTCTGTTAAAATGCTCTGTTTAGAACTATTTTGGTGGAAAACTCTCTGCTCAAGGGAAAATGCCTTGGATTGAATATAATAATGAAAAAGTGTCTGGCACAGAATTCATAATCGACTTTCTGGAAGAGAAACTTGGAGTGAACTTAAATAAAAATCTTGGCCCCCATGAAAGAGCTGTCTCAAGAGCTGTGACCAAGATGGTGGAAGAGCACTTCTACTGGTGAGTCCCTGCTGTGTCTCCCCCACCCCCAGCCCACAAGCACAGCCCAGCCAGCTCAAGGTCTCTATCAGATTTCTGACACTCACTGCCTCAAATGTTCTGTTAAGCTTATCATCTTTCTCAAAGGTTTTATCAAAAAACAAACACAACAAACACACAACAAAAAACAAAACAACCCCCTTTGATTTAGGGTCAATGATCTCCCTGTTGTCTCCAAGTATCTAGATAAGGACTCCACAGGTATCACACAGAGTCTATCTGTCACAGCCACAATCACTCAACTATACCAATAAACCTGGCTGTTTGTAAGCAGACTTCAGTAAAATTATCATCTATCATGCACACTGAAACTTGGATTTCATTTATAATAACATAATCTTCCTTTGATCTTTTCCCAACCACATATGCATAAAAAACTTTTACAGCCTATGTGCTGCAGTTTCTTGGATTTTAGTGAGGGGCATGTATCAATTTGTGGGGCTCATCAGTACAAACTGCTGAATACAAGAGCATCAGATGCTGGGCAGTACTGGCATATGCCTTTAATCTCACACTCGGGAGGCAGAGAGAGTCAGATCTCGTGAGTTGAGGCAAATCTGGTGTACAAATCAAGTTCAGGACAGCTAGGGCTACATAGAGAAACCCTGTCTCAGAAAACAAAAACAAGAACAAAAAATGAAAGTGTATGAGATACCAGAGGAAGACATGAAAGGCTAAGTAGAGATAGGCTTCCTCTGTGGAATAACTTAGACATTTGTGAGATTATGTCACCTTCCCTTAGAAAACATTCTGCCCTGATTGCTTCATTCTCAGTTCACAGTCCCCAAGTTTGAAGTGGTGCACAGTTGGGTTGACCAGTTGTTCTGTTTTCCTTTGGTGGTAACAAGCTGCTGCAGCACCATTTGTGTCGATCATATCTGCTTAGTCTTGATTTGCAAACCTATATGTTTTGTGAGTTTTCCCCTTTTCAACTATTGCCTACCCCCTTCTCTATACAACTAGAGTTGATAAGAAGTTTCTTCTGAATAGTTGCTGATTTTACTTTGTCTCAATACTTAATTAGAAATCCTTAGTCCCACTTTATTGGCATGGCTGTTTCTTAGTCAGATGCTGATCCAGCTTTTACTGACCACTTCCAACCACAGAGACCATCTCCTTGTGGGACTTACTGTGGGATTCTTCCTCCTTGGCTCACTGCTTCATCCTCCTGCCCTTTTTCTAGGTAGAAAACTGGATATCTGTTTATCCCTGAGATTACACGTGACCCTCTATTTCTCTCTTCCTGCATTTGGTTTTTGTACTTTTTGTCTGTCCTGGGGCTGACCAGAACTCCACATCTTCTCCCCACCTCACTATAGAGATGAAGGAGGGCTGACCAAGGAAGTGCCTTGTTGGAGAAAGTAGAGTGATCAGTGTGTGAGAGGCAGACTCTGTTTGCAGGAGCCTGGTCCTTTCCATGAAAGGCTGAGGGAGATGCAAGGCCTCTGCTTTGTCACAGTGGACACTAGGATGTGTGACTGTCTGACTCCATTGGCTTCTGGGAAAGGCTGTGGCAAAGATCCCATCTCATCCATTTGCCGGGGTACAGACCCACCTCTGCAGTGGCAGAGGATAATGAAGAGTGTGCCCCAGGCTCCTGACCCTCAAGCCACCTTTGATCGTGTTTACTGTGCCTCCTTTGAGAGATGGGGTGCCTGTCACAAGGATGTGGAGAGCTAAATGTCAGCTTTCTAGAAAGCTGCAGAACTTAAGTTTTCATTCATATTTTGGCTGTAACTCTTACACTTTTGTAGTAGGACATACATACATACATACATACATACATACATACATACATACAAAGTTTGGATTCAGTGCAATACCCAATTCTCATATGTCAAAGCCTTTTGGTCAGGGACCTGCATCATTTTATATAACTTTACCCCCGGTAGAAGCTCACAGGCAACACCTTTCTGCCCTTGTCTTCTCTAACCCTGAGCTAATAGGGAGGTAGGGTAGACTGTGGATGTGAGTGAGAGGGGACAGGGGGAAGATCAGAAACTTCCAAGAGCTTACTCGACTTAGGTGGTGTGTAGCCTCTTGGAAGGTTAGCATTGTTTCCCTAACTCACTTTCTATTAGAAAAAGAAAAAAGGAAGACGTTTTGAGATACAGTACATCTTCATCTCTAGTACCAAAAGGACAACAATCCCTTGTCCTGTTTCTTCCCTTTGGCAGAGATCCTCATTCCTGCCACACCTACCAGGGAATTTATATCCCCATTCTCACAAGGAAATGCCCAAGGCAGTGAGTGACATTCTCCTATTCCATCCTTCTGCTCTTCCAGTCCCAGAGGGCAGAATGGAAGCTGGCTTTAGCATGGAAACTGACCTCAATGTATGTTGTCTGTGAGGGTCTCTCACATGGTAACAAGCATCGAGCTCTTAGGTTGTGACTGTACTTAAGAGAGGAAGGAGAAGAAGGTCAGTCAACCTTCAGTGTTTAACCCATGTATCTGATGATCTGAGTTTTTTCAGGTACATTTTATTTTGGCCTGAAACTTTAAAAATGCTTGGGTACAATTTTTTGCAAGGCAGAGGTGATGGGAAGCTGACATTACCATGTAGCATGACATAATTTTGAAGCTTTGTTTTATGTCCACTCAGATAAGCACACTCAGCTATAAAGTGGTTTTTCTTGCATTTGAAATCTATATAATTATATCCTGCTTGCATTATAAAAGCTATTATTGAAGATGAATAAGCTTGGGTTTTTTTTTTCGTATCTTCTTTGTCTTATACCGAGGGCTTAAGTTAGATCTAATGCTTGGAAACTGGATTTCTCAGACAGAGAATCAAATTACCAAAATGAAATTGATTTTCTAACGATGTTTCTTCAGTGATGCACACTGCCCTCCTGTGGCCATTAGTGAAAACCCTAAGAGTCTTCCAACACTATAGAATAAGTGCAACACTCAACATTTTCCACACAAATCTACTTGTAGGTTGCACATAATTTATACGTTTTAAGCTTTGTACTTTTGTGTGCTGGTATTTGAACTTGGGGACCTTGTGCATGCTAGACAAGCACAGTAGCATGGAAACTCATCTCCAACCTGAACTTGGCTTTTGATGTAATTTTAGTATTTGAGGAAGATGTAGAACTTTCCTTAGATGGCTTACAAGATGTGTAAAAGCTGTGTGGAAGTCTGACCATGATGACTGATTACAAAGCTACAGAACCATTTCACCTTTTCCATTCTGTATTCAGTCTTAGCTGTAGGGGGAGCTCCTGTATGGAAGGTTTATGAAATTTTATGATGATTGAAGAAGTACATCATTAGTTCATACCTCTTTAAAGTAGAACATTAATTTAAAAAAACAGCAAGGGTATAGCCTCACATGGAGAGGTGGTTTTTGAGATAGGGTCTCACTGTGTAGTCTTGACTAACTGGGAACTCATATGAGACCCACCCAGCTCTGCCTTCGGAGTGTGGGAATTAAAAGGTGTACCACCATGCTTGTCAGTGAAAGGCGTTCTTCTGAATTGGAAGGCCATGCTCTGAGACTCAATAGTTTGTAACTTTCTGTATATTATTATTTGTTTATGCCTTGGGTCTGACTTCATGTTAGGTTATGGTGAAAAAACATTTTCATGAAAACATGATCACTAAAGGACTAGAGATACATAGCTCAGAGGTTGCATGCCCAGCTTAGCAGGCACAAGGTATTGGGTTTGATTCAGCACTGCAACCAAACCAAAGCCAAACCAAACCAGCTGTCTCTTCTGCTTGAGATAGAATCCTGTTCTGTAGTCCTGTGAGTTATGTAAACTCACCAGCCTCCTGCCTGTTTCCTGGGTGCTGGGATTACTACAGGCATAGGCCATGATGCTTGGCCTTTTGCCTATTTTCTAGGTTTCCTTTAGAAGTGTTAGCACAAGCTTTTAAATCTTGAAATCTTTGGCACAATTTATGTAGGGGAGATTAGACACATTAGTTGTGATAAGAAAACAAACATCTGAACTTTCTGAAATAGATTGTCACACGATAAATCACTTTAATGCTTATCGTAGTCTAATTTTCCAGTTGACCCTTCGTGCTGACTCCACTTAATAATTCATGACTCCTTGTGCACTGGGCTCCTTCCCAGTGAAGATAAAGGGGCCATGGACTGCTAAAGAGACAAGTGTCAGCCGCTTCATCCACCATGGCTTTTTCTCTCTATTTTTCCAAGTACGTACTATCCCTTAGAAACACCACACTGCCAGCACTGACTCAGTATGAAGCTGGTTTTCATTCAATCAACAATTCACTCTTAACAAATGAAGTGACTGCCAACTGGTATACAGATACCATGCCCATACCCTTCAGTGGCTCTCAGGCTGGAGAGCCTTTATAAGAAAGCCTTCCTTAAGCCTTAATGATTGTCATTGTTCGGGAGGAGTTTTAGGAGCTGAGGGAGGCAGTAAGCACGTACTGGACAGATGAAGGCATAGATCCCAGAGGAAGGGGTAGTGTAATAGAGCCATGTGACACTGGAGTGGCAGGTGAAGGAGCTAATGGTACGGGGTAGTGATTAGGATGTTCAGGTAGACAGCAGTGTCTGTAAATGTTTGGAACCAAGAAAGAGGTGTTTTGGGAGTGTCTTAGTCCATTTGGGTTCCTGTAACTGAATAGCAGTCTGGGCAGTTTAGAAGAAGTTTATATCTCACTAGAACTGGAGACTAGGAAGACCAAGGCCAAGGTTTTAGCAGATTTTGTGTTTAATGAGGTCCTGTTTTCTGGTCCACAGATAACCATCTTCTAACAGCAAGGCCACATAACAGGGTATAGAATCTCTATGGGATCATTTTTATAAGGGCAGTGGTCTTACTCAATGGCTCTGTCCTCATGACTTAAGTACACCGAAGGCCTGCTTCCCAACACCACCTGGTTTCAATACAAGAAATTTAGGGACATGAATGTTCAGTCTGTAATTGGGGTTGTGGGGAGGCTCATGCCCTTTTGCACAGCTAATATACAGTTTATGGGAGGCCATCCTGAGGGATGGAGACTGAGAAGGGCCAGAATATGGTCAGGGTCCTGGGTTTCTGACATTGCAATATGATGTTGTAATCTATAAATATGTTGGGCTGCATTTATAGCCATCCTGAGGAACACATGGCCTGTGAGCATAGGTTTGGCACACTTGGGTGGGAGCCATGAAGAAAATCTCCTGGGATTCTTGAAGAATAACTCCGGGGATTCTGGCCTGTGAGGTGAAGTAAGCAAAAATGAATCCAGTATTGGAAGTATAGTTTGCATTTCTTGGAACTCTTCCATGTGGGATTCATGGGTCTCAGGATGGAAGTCTGGATTAGGTATAGATTTATTTAGTTGCTCTGAACTCCTGGGTGTGAATGAGATCACCTCATGACTGTAGATTTAGTAGGTAGGAGACTAGAAGAAAATAGATAAAAGTCATTGGAATATGGGAAAGGTGGGAGGGAAAACAGCCATTGTAAGCTAAAGGCAAGTATCAACAGAGGCTAATAGTGTTGGATGCTGTAGTGTTCATGAGAGCTAAGTTTAGTGAAGAGGGTATGGAGAAAGTTTCTGACCTTTGACCTGGATGAGAGTTGTTTGGGTGGAGTGATGGGGTGGAATCTCTCACACTGTTTCTAGAATTGTGATTGAGAGGTGTATCCTTGTCTGTAATGACATGGAAACATGCAAAATATCATGTCCCCTGCCTGTTATAGCTGAGGTAAGAGTATGTAATCCACACATGTGTTTTCTTTTGACACTTTGCTGGATTTGATCACCAAAGAGCCCTGTGGTCCTTATTTGACACTGGTCTGTAATACGGGAACAGTAGAGAAGCAAAGAAATCAGATGCAGAGCAGGGGCTGGGGAGATATTCAGTCACTAAAGTGCTGGCAAAGCCTTGCAGGTCTAAGGAGCTGAGTTTGATTTGCATATGTCTTTAAAGTGCTGAGTGCTGGGGCTGCAGAGATGGTTTAGCCCTGAAGAATGCTTGCTGTTCTTCCAGAGGACCTGAGTTCTATTCCTAGCATCCATAGCTGGTGACTATCAACCGCCTGTAACTCCAGGGATCTCATACCTTCTTCTGGACTCAGGGCATATGCACACATGGAGTCTACTGCCCACCTCCTCCCCCCCTAAAAAAAATCCAAGTGCAAGTGTGGTGGAGCACACTCGTAACCCCAGTGCTGGGAGGGCTGGGGCAGGCATGGCCCAGGGGCTCACTGTCCAGCCAGCCTAGCCGCACTTGGCAAGTTCTAGGTCAGGAGAGACTATGCCTGAAAAAACTTGTGGGCAGAACCTGAGGAACCTCTAGCTTCCACAGTCACATGCATACATGTGTTTATGTGTCCTTATAACATGCACTTGTATACATAGTGAACATGTGCATGGACACACACACATAGACACAGACATGCACACGCATACACAGAGAGCAGGGGGAGGAAGAGAGAAAGACCAGTTTGCAAGGCTTCTTACACCTCAGAGTTGGGACTGAGAGCAGTTCTTCTTTCGTACCCCGTGTTCACACTGTTCCTGTAGGTTGAGAACCTTACATCTTTCATTTGCTGCCATCAGTGCAGAGCTGTGTGGCCCAGGCAGCCACCTCTCCTACAACCTGCTACTCAGTATTTTCTGCAAATCCCCACACGCATAGCATTTCCTGCTCTGGGGGAGGGGGAGGGAAGAGATTGTACCCTCTATCCTTTATAAGACCCACCTTCCTTCATCTTAGAAAATGAAGTGTCTCTCCTCCCCTCCATGGCACCTCCTTTCTTATCTTCTAATTTCCCTTTGAACTATGATTTTCTAACATTGTCCTCATTCTAGAAATGTCCTTAGATAATCTCGTTTTCCCTCTCAGCTTTAAACTCACTAATATGTCCCTGCCCACCAGTTCGATCTCCATGTAAAGTCTAAATTTGCCTCTTGAGTTTTCTATTTTCTGAACATCTTCTATCTTTGGAACCTTCAAGCACATCTGGTTAACCTACTTTTCATTCTTCAAACCCATTCCACTCCGTGTGGTCCAGCATTGATTAGTGAAACCCACATAAATGCTTAGCCTGGGAGAAGACAGCCACTTTCCTGAATGTCCACCGGTAACTGGACCCTTCCACCTCAGAATTTCTCCATGTGTGGCACCTCTCTGTCATGGTCTACAGAACATCCTTTCTTGTCTGTCTCACTCATCCTGTCTTCCTGTCAGCATTGCCATGAGTCTGATTGTCTGACTGAAACTTTCCAGCACTTAACCTTTACTTTGGAATTAAAATGACTCAGCCTGGCTTCAGGCCTCCTGTGATCGGCTCTGTGGGGCCCGTCCATCTGAGGTCTTATAAACTTCCTCACATGCATCCTAGAGCCCAGACATCCTCCTGGAGTTCTTGCAAGTCCAGGCAGCCAGTGTCTTCAGGGAGGTGCCTCTTGAGCTCCTTCCTGTTCATCCTACAGTTATGCTCAGGATCTAACTGGGCGACACAGCACTCCTCATGTGAATTTGCCAGCTTAGAGTCACATGTGCCTCATTTTATGCTTTCAGAACCTCCGCTGTGCTATTGTTAGTTGTTTTATGCTCAGCTTAGGATTAATTTTTTCCCTAAGACTATTGGTTTTCCCGATGATCAAAGGTTATGTAACCTTCTTCGTTATGAATTTAAATAATGTGTAAATAGAATCACAGTGCTCATTATTCTAATGGAATATGAAATCCATTACTAGATTATTGCAGGTATAAAAAAGAGGGCTTGCGAAGGGTATGTAGCATTGACATTTGCATAGGAGTCAGGGCAATGGATGTGAGATAGTTTACCTCAAAAGGCTCATCATGTGCACTGCCCATGCACAGTCAAATACTGCTGTGAAGTACTTTTTCCTTGTCTCAGCAAAATTCATTTCTTCACTTTGCAATAGTTTGAGAGACTTATGAAAAAGACACACAGAGAGAACTTTCTATAAGAATGGTAGGTATTCTTTTTAAAAGATAACAGGGAAGAGTTAAATATGGCTGTAGTGTGGAGAGTACATTTAAATTAGGGCTTTTTAGTAAAAAATTCAAGAATGAATAAAAACTTTATATTTTCTTTCTTTTTCTTTTTCCTTTCTTTTCTTTTTTAAGTAGAGAGGGTCTCAGTGTAGCATAACTATATAAAATGCTAAAAATTTCAGGGCTTTTTGTTTCCAGTGGAGCTAGAGATAGATGCCAGGGTCTGGCACATGCTGGTAACTCTTACAGCACTGAGATGCACCCAGGTCTTGTCTTCTTCCTAATGTGTAAAATAACATTTCCTTGTAGCTTCAATTTACTATCATCCTGTGTGTTTTTAATAATATCTTTTACCTTTCTGATGTTTAAGAGGTCATTACTACATATCAGCCCACATCAGGGGTAAGGGTTTATGACTGGTCCTTTTTTTTTTTTATTGTAAGGAAAAATTAAAATATTTCATGTGTATATTCTCAGAGCTACATTTTTCTCATTTACTGTATATCTAATAACATGGTTAGCTATAAAAACACTTTTGAGATTGTGCAGGTTTCTCAAACCAAGTAAGGAAAAGTACAGGCATTGCAGCCAATAGGATGCTATGTCTGCATGTGCTGTGTGCGAACACCAGATGGGTGAGATTGTCAATAGCGCCACCCAGTGGGAAAGTGACCGCACAGTTCCTTGGGTGAATACTTAAAATCCTTGCAAACAGCCTGAGGGAGAGAGTTGATTTTCTGGAAAGCAAATAATTTACATATTCACAGCATATCACTTATGACACATAGGCAGGTGTACCTTCTCCTTAACCTCTGTTCAAAAAGCAAAAGAGTGTCTTAAAAAAAATAACCCAACGTTTTTCATTGTGAAACATAAAATACACGCAGCCTAGAAAATGGAAACACAGGACTTAGCCTATGGAGCCGTCCTTAAGCTCCAGAAGGGAATGCTGGTCTATTCCTGTTGGCTGCAGGTACTGCTGTGCACCCCATAGCACTTGCCAGCCTCCTGAGAGGCTATTACTTTTATAAGAGAGCACGAGAAAGAACAATCTGAGGGCCGGTGACTGGGAAGATTTGGTTGAACAGGAGCACAGGACGCGTCGTTTCTCTGAGTGTTTGTAAGTCTACACATTGGCTAGAGCTTTTGTGATAATCCCTGCCACTCAGGTTAAACACTGTGATTATTTGGTTCCTCTGGAAAGTACTACATTCTGAACAATGCATTTGAAAGTGTCTGCAGAGCTACACATCTCTGATGCACAGCAGTAACTTGTTTCCACACAATTCCAGGACGTTAGCTTATTGCCAGTGGGTGGACAATCTCAATGAGACCCGGAAGATGCTGTCACTTAGTGGTGGTGGTCCCTTCAGTAACCTGCTCAGGTGGGTCGTGTGCCACATAACAAAAGGAATTGTGAAGCGGGAGATGCACGGCCACGGCATTGGCCGCTTCTCGGAGGAAGAGATTTACATGCTGATGGAGAAGGACATGCGGTCTTTAGCGGGGCTTTTGGGTAACGTACCACACCTTCTATATTTTCTGTGCTTTCTGTTGCATGACTAGTAGAGTGTTGCTGGTTTATGAATTTAACTTGCTTAGGGGTTTTGCTCCCACATGTAGGTTGCATTTCCACCATTTAACCAATCTCCCAGAGTAATCTCTGGTGTTAGATTTTAGAGTATCCACGGAGGACCCCGTGAGAGCATGTGGAGGACATTTTGGCATTGGGACTTGGCTGCAGGGGATTCTGGCTGTGCTGTGAGGATAGGTGATTTTGAGCAAGGAACCTCTTCTATTTATATGCAGATCAGGCTGCTTATAAGCACTTCCTCATGTAACATTTACACAGACTTGGTGACAGCCTAGCTTCTGACCTGTTGTGCGCATGTGCATGTGTTGATCCTTGCCATCTTATGCTGTTCATTCTGGTGTGTATCCTTGTTTTTCTTCTTCCTAACATGTGTTATCCAAGATGTTGCATTTTTTTTTTGGACACTGTGGGCTAAATTGTGTCTGGGGAGCTCCTTAGAGAGGCAAAGAGCCTTAAATGTCCATGAGCTGGTGAGGGGGATTTATTCCGTTCACCAGATGGCTACAGATAACCCGGGGCTGCTGTAGTTCTACACTGGGCGAGCTTGATTCTTGGCTATGATGATTCACAAAGAGACTGTCCAAAGCAGTAGCACAGATGTGAACCCATGTCCTCTGATATGGGACTGTTTAATGGACTCAGTGGGACTTCTGGTTTTATTTTCAGAACTTGATTTTGTTCACTAGTCCTCCCTTTCTGGTAATGATGTCCAGATCTGTCACCATTCCCACTGTAGAGCATGTTAAATTCCTTGCCTCCAAGAGGAACTGGGGTGTGGGTTTTTTTTTTTTTGGTTGAAACCTACCTGGTATGTTAGAAGTGGAGGCTTTGTGGACATAAGAATCCCTATTGCAGAGTGGTCTACGCTGACCACTGACTTGATTGTTCCACATTCCAGATACTTGCTAGACCTGGAGTCCTCCATTTGGTGCCTTGCTCTGGAAATCGTGGTCTCGATCTCAGATGACCGACCCTTAGTGGAATCCTTCTTCCTTAGGCGTGTCTGTGTCTGTTTCTGATTTATTACTCTTCCTCTCCAGTTTATGATTTTAGAAACCTCCACAAATGAGGAGTTGAGTTTCAGAGTCATTATTATAGCCAAGATTGTGGCATTAAAAGCCTTTTGAACAATTGAACAACATTGATTTCTTAACCAGAGCATTGGTGACTATCACTCTGCTAGAAGTGTTTCTTGTTCGGAGAAGTTTAGAGAGCAGGGTGATGGTGGTAATGGCTACCGACACTTTCTCTGAGCACTCAGTGACTAAGCTCTGTTCCCATCACCATGCATCCCTTATGGCTAGGCTGGAAGCCTTGTAAGCATGGGAGTTTGCCCTCACCCATGGCTCATTTGCTATGGTTTCAGACATCAGTGGTTGACTATAGTCTGAAGGGGAGGTCCCACTTCATATTTGTTTTCAATTGGGTGCTGTTCTGACTACTATGATGGATTCTCCAGGACATGCTCTGTCTAGGAAATAGGTGACTCCTCTCTGTCTACTGCTGTCACAGCTAATACTCACTGCCACTTAGTAGCAACAAATCCACTGTTGTGAGGAGTGAAAATGCTTGTGTTGAAGTAAGCTTCAGTTCACTTAAACGGAATTTGCACTTAACATCATTAGAATAATGATGAATTAGGAAAACTGTTTTTGTTTGAAACAAAAACCTTTTTTCTTGACTTTAAATTTGTCAATTATAGAAGTTTGGGAAGGTTCAGAAAAGAACAGAGAAAGAAAGCAAGTCAAAATAATTTTACAACTAATTGCTAACCAAAGTACTATTTGATGCTAACCATTTGATGTCTAGCCTTTTAATACTTTTATACATAATTTTGAAACACACACACATATATATGTATACACACATTTTTATTTTATTTTTTCTATCATTAAATATTCTGTACCATGTGACTATATGTCTGCATCACAGTTGATGCCAGAAAAACTTATCAAATTCCACTTTGCCTACTGTTTGTCTTATACTTTTGTTCTGTTAATGCTGAGTCTATAGATACATTAAAAACAAACAGAAAATAAGACAGCATGAGAATAAGATTTGTATTTCTGTGTCTAGTATTAACAAAGAGATCCTCAGCTGGGACCATTAGGTATGAAGTAGAGACCATGGGATCCAGGACAAGTCAAACTACGTTACGCATTTGATAATGGAGAAAACGGAAGCATACACAGGCCGAGTCACACTGTTAGGCAGAAGTGAGACAGGGATCAAATCCGGAACATTAGGCTCAAGAGATTATTTTCTACCTGCTGAGTGCTTGCATGGCTTGGGTTCTAGAACTCACATCTGGATGGTGAGGGAATACAGAAAGGTCAGACGCACATACAGGAAAACTGGGACTGGGTGGTCTGGGCTGTGTGATGGAGAAGCTGTAGCACCTGAAGCTCTGTGTGTTTCTCATACAGGATTGAATAAGAAGGCAGGCCGAGTCAAAGACCCAGGTTTAGGTAATCACGGTGAGAATGTCTCTGTGGGAATGCTTCAGACTTAAATATGGAGTGAGAGGACAAAGCTATGGTAGACATTTTCTGCATGTCCTATCAACATCTGTTCACAAATGAGGAGGGAAGGGTTTGCCATTCTCATGGGGCTGAGGCACTGGGGTCTTTGACATGGCTCCCTACTACCCAACTGTGACCCCAAGTTTCCTCATGGATTTACTTGAAGTGACTCTTTATCATTTCAGGGTGGCATCTTCAGAACATTTCCTGAAGTAGACAGAGCTTAGACTTTCAAATTAAGGAGTGGTCTCCAAAGTGATGTTTAAAGAATGTTTTATTTGCTTTCTCCTCGAAGTGGGCTACAGAACAGTCTTTGGTTGTCTGAGAATGTAGCTCTGTGGTATAGCACTTGTCCAATGTAGAACTCTGGGCTCCATCCCCAAAGACTGAAAAGAAAAGAAAACAAAACAAATATAGATGTGTTTGTAAACTGAGTTGTACCATCCATTGGTAGGCATGCCTTTAAGAGCCTGCTTAGATAAGAGCTCACTGATAAATTTGACTTATAAATGGGAGTGAGAAAAGCTGATTTCCAGAAGGCACCACTTGCTTAATAAAAAGTTTATTGTGCATTTTCTAGTGTGAAGTATTTCTTTTGAGTCTGAAAATAGCTTAGGGTTTCTTTGGTCTTCAGTCCTTATTGATATCCGGTTGGCACACTTGTAAAAACCATATCTATTGGTTATTTCAATAAGCATTTGTGATCTTGATTATTTAATGAAGGGTAAATGATGCAAAGTAGTGTGTCCTGTCAAGAATCAGCTTCCCAGCCCCTTCCTAAGCATAAGTAATTACAACATGGTGCAGTTTTACAGAATGGTTACATAGTATTGTTGGATAGAAGGAATCACTACTTCTGTTTTTCAAGTAAAAAAAAGATGATACTTGGATGGTCACTGAGTTCACAGTTAAGTTATTTATAGATGGTTAAAATATTACCAAAGAATAACATGGAAAAGCATTTGTGATGAGAAATAGAAAATCTCTAGCCCTTGTGGTTCTCAGACCTTCTCATCACAAACCAAGACTGTTTTGAAAAGTATATTTCATAATGTAGACCAAAGTTAAGTGCTATTATTTTGAAGTGTGGAGGTGGTCACCTAATGTGTGTGTGTGTGTGTGTGTGTGTGTGTGTGTGTGTGTGTGTGTGT